TATACCCTACCAAAACGGCAGAGAGAGAGAGAGAGAGAGAGAGCGAGCGAGAGATCTTCCGGAACTCTGACCGAGGTGGGTGATTTTCGAGTACTGCGCCGGCGGAGACCTACTGCGGCTGCTGAAGCAGGACGGGCGGCTGCCGGAGGAGCGCGCCGCTCGGAGTTCCGAGCGCGAGCTGGGAGCGGGGGGGGGGGGGGCGGGGGCCGGGGGTGGGGGTTGGCGAAAATTTCAATTTTTGCTGGTGGAAGAGTGTATTTTGTTGGGTAGTTTTGCTGATTTGGCTATTTCGTAAATTATCTTTGGACTTTAACTTGTTGGAAACCGTGGATTTTCTGTTGGACCCACAAAAAGTCAAACTTTTTGCAGAGGGGTCCATACAGCAACCGAGCTTTGGATCAGTTTCTTTGTGGGGCGAGGTTCGAGGGGAAAATCCAGGAAGCCTTGAGGGGTTGGGCGGGCTGGAGTTTTTGTCACTTGCCGTTGCACATTCCCCGATGCTTTGATGCTTGTTTAGCGACGTTCCTGCTTTGTCCGGTTCCCCTCCTGCTGCAGTTACATCTTGCCTGGGCGCATGCATTTCCTCTGCGCAGGCTGTGATTCCAACATTTCCAGTTCACAAACGTGGAGGGCGGAATAGGGCGGAGATACCTACGATCTGAAGCAAGCTAGTGAAGAGGCAGCAGGCACTCTGGCAACGGTGCCGGCTTTCGGTCCGTCCTCGTGTAACTTCAGGTCGGGTGTGTTTTTGCGGGTTTTGGAAGGAAAACCAAGAGCAAGACCATCATGTCGGGGGCCCAGTCTTAGATTCAGTGGGTGGAACGCCTCGCCTAGGTCCGCGTCTTCGGGCAACAGATCTGCGCTGGACTGCTGCACGTGCACTCCCGTGACTCTGCTTTTCAGTTGTTCTTTCAGTGGCAGAACTGGGGGTGCCATCAGTTTTCATGGCCAGACCTCCTAGCCTTTTTCGCCCAGTCGCTTTTGTAAACCTCTTTCGGGTTTCGGCGTTTCCTTTCAGGTTGCCTCGGAGCCGGCAAAAACCCGGTGGTTTCCGCCAGTTATGTCACCCACCAAGCCCGCGGCAGGCTCCAAGTGGGTGGTTTCCTTGGCCTTGAAGCAGTTCGCCATGTAGACGAGACCGACTTGGTTGGCCCTTGGGCCTCAGAACAGCTCATCGCAACTAGTCTCAGTTGTTCAGTGGCACCCTTTGTCCTTATTTTTTTGGGGGGGTGGCTGCCCCACTAGAAATGGTCTTCCCAAAAAAGGGTTCCCTTTTAGCCGTTCTGGTCCAAAACCATTAGGGCTCAGGGATCGGGCTCCCAGGGCCTGGCGACACTCCCCGGTGCGTCAGGCGTCCACCAAGTCACGGTCTCCTCCGTGGCGCCCCGCTTTCTTTTGTGCGCGGCCCCCCTGGCTTGCTCTGCTGTGTGGCGGTGGTCTCTGGTGTGCTGGGGCTTTGCCTGTTGCTGGCTGTGGCCATGTTGTCCCGGGACCCGGCTGTGCTGAGGGCCCTGTCTGCTCTTTCTTCCACCACCCTGGCCACACTTGATGCCCTGATGTCTGAGGTGGTGTTCTTTCAGGATCCCGATCCTGAGGCCTGGCGTGGCCGTGCGGACCTTCACTTCAGGGTTGATGCTGGGATCTCCCCTACGGAGTGGCTCTGCTCTGCCTTTTCTCCTGGCCTTCCGCCTGACCTACATGCCACGCCCCGGACGCGCCGGCTCATGTTTGAGATGCTTCTGAGAGGCTCGGTGCAGTTCACCGCCCTCCTCAACCGGCCTGGCGGTCATTTTAGGGTGAAAGGGGCGTCCTTGGTGGCTGGCACCATGCCTCGTGTGGCCCTGGTGGACCTTGATTCACAGGTCTGGATTGTCCCTGACCCGGACTTTGATGCTCCGCTGGCTGTCACCCACCTGTTTGCGGGGTCCTTCCATGGATGGGGTCAGGCGGCTGAGGCCATTAGGCAGTTGGTGGGACTGGACATCCAGCAGGAGCTCATGGTGGATTTCTCGCCACAGGTCGTTGCCTCGCTGTCGGTTGCGCTGGATGTGCCCTGTGTGCTCCCGGTCAATCTGACCAGTTGGGATCCCACATCAACCCAGGCTGTGATCCTTGCGGATGTGGCTGACCGTGGTCTTCTGCATTGTGTCCCCTGGGTGGGCACTCACGTGGCCACGGCTTCTCCGCCTTGCCCACCTTGGTCCCGGGCTGGTGAACAGGATGGGCTTGGGGACCCCCATGGCATGTCCTTCGTGGCCGCCCTGGCTTGGGCTCGGGCTGCTGCCCCTCTGGCTCTCCTCATGGAGTGTGATGGGTTGCCGGATCACCCGCACTTCCCTATCATCCTCGCCGTTGTCCAGTGGGCTGGCTACCGGGTCCATCACTCACTGGTGCATGACCATGCCACCTTTGGGCCATGTGCCAGACGCCGTTGGCTTGCCACTCTGCTGCGGTATGATGTTGAGGTGTCGGTGCCTGTTCCTACGGCCACCTTTGGTGACCCTGTGCCTGTGCCGTGGACCCACCAGGACTTCCAGGTGCAGGAGGCACCCGAGATGGATTTTGCCCGCTTGCTCGATGACCAGGTTCTCCGGCACTATACCAACCCCGCCTTCCTACCTGGCGCTGAGCCCCATCAGCACTCTGCACAGGAGGTCCTCCAGAGGCGGCTGGCCCCTGATGATCAGCCACTGCGCACACTCTGTGCTCGGTACTCGCAGCAGCATGTCCTGGCCGCTGCTACCCTGGCTGACAGAGGCCTTTTTGCCCAGCTCACCCTGGTTGATGGCCGCCCGGCCTTTTTCTCTCCTGCCCAGTGGGCACTGTGGCTTGGGGCAGTCCGACCCCTGGTCTTTCCTCCCACCTTGGAGGAGGTGTTTCATGGTTTGGGTAACTGTATCTCAGTACCACAGGCAGCCATTCCGTGGACTGTCTTCCTGAGCGCAGTGGGTCTCATTACTGAGGTACCTGAGCACCTCGTTCTGCGTGTGTGGCGCCATCGGCTTCGGGGTGGTGCCCTACGTCCTGCAGTTGTGCGTGGGTGGTACTTTCTTGGAGCTCTGGATCAGCTCATCGACTTTGCCTTCCATCATCAGGCCCCTGTGCGGGCCGACGCGGAGGGACCGCCAATTGTTGTTGGTGAAGAGACCTTTCCCAGGATGGTCTTTCCCTACCGCATGGGTGCTGCTCGATCCACGCTCCACTCGCCCTCTGGTTTGAGTGTCGAGGTGACATACCCTGTTGGGGCTGCTGTCTCTTTGGTCCTTCTGGCAGCTCGCCTTCCGCCTGTTGTCTTGCCCCTTCTTGCTGTGTCGACCTTCGCTCGTGTCTGGCTCCCTCGTGAGTCAGCCGGAGACTTGACTGGACATGACTTGGCTGTCGTCCCTGCTCAGGAGCCAGGCCAACTTGCTCCCCAGCCCCCTCCCCCCGTCCTGGTGCCACCGGAGGTGAGGGTCTTTATCCATGACCCCATGCGGAGGGAGCATGTGCTTCATGTCCCCAGAGTTGCTACCCTTCGGCAGCTCATCTGGGCCCTGCCGCTCCCTGACCGTCTCCTGATGCATGTGCGACCGTATGTCCAGGGACGCCCGGTGAGTGATACCACTACGGCTGAGAACCTTGCGGGTCAGCATGTCTTGCTGCGCCTCTTCCCTCTGCCTGGTGGTGGCTTTGGCTCGAGTGAGACTGCCGTCTCCCTGGCTTCGGATGATGATGAGATGGTCCCGGTTGATCCCTTGACCATGCATGACCCGTGGGCTCCCCCCCCGGGCCTCGTCCCCACTGCCAAGTCTGCACCAGCTGGCCCCAGGAAGGGGCATGCCAAGTGGGATCAGCTCCTACTCCCGGAGGACCATGCCTTCACCTTGGCAGACCTTGGGGTTGCGCCTGTCTTGGTTCCGCGTGGGCAGCTTGGCCCCCTTGTGTCCGGCCTGGCATTCTGCCCTGTCAGCTTGCTTGCGGAGAGCCTCAAGGCCCCGGTCACTGCTCCCACAGCCCTCATTGTGCCGGGGACCTCCCGGGCTTCCTTGCCTGCGCTTCCTTCTGCTGTTGGTGTTGAGGGTCCCTTGCAGATCAGTGTCCTGGACCCTGTTGCAGCTCTCACGTACAAGCGGCAGGTCGTGCTTGTCCACCTTGCTCCGGGCATTACCTACCGCCCTTCTGTTGAGGCTGCAACGGTCATTGACACCGTTGACTTTGTTGAGCTTGTGGTTGAGAGCTTTGAAGCCCTAGCAACTGACTTTGCGGGCATCTTGGCCAAGCCTGCTGCGGGCCTGCGGGCCCTCTTGGAGGCTCCTCATCAGTCGTCGGTCGTCCAGTCTGTCTATGCCCTCCGTGTACTCCATGGCTCCGTCCACAACTTGGGTCGCGTGGTGCAGTTTACGGTCAAGCTCCCGTTGACCCACAGGCTCGCATTCCTGCGTCTGTCGGGCACTGGGCCCTTCTTCGTGCGTGATTTCTTGGCCCAAGGAGCTGAATTGCAGGACACCGTTTCTGGCCTCTCAGTGTGGAGGGCCTCAGGGCGGCCTTGGCTGTCTCCCGGGCCCTGGAAGGGTTTGCTGGTCTTGCCCCACTGAAGCGGGGTGTCACAGTCCGTGTCCTGCACTCTCACATCGCGGATGCTCGAAGAGCCTTGTTGCAGGAGGATCCTCGCTTTGTTGAGGCCAATCGGTCCCTTGTCCCCCGGGTCACTTTCCTTGCGGAAGGCTTGCCGTTTGGGGCCACGCCTGGTGCAATTGTTGAGGCTGTTCTCAAAGCTGTGGGTGCACCCTGCATCCCCTTGCGGTCTTTCCGGCGCAATGGCATTCTGGTGTGGGTCTTGGCCTTTGCTCAGGCCCCTGCTCTCATGGATTTCACCCTCCTGTCTGCTGGGCGCCCGTGTGAGGTCATCCTGGCCCCTGAGCCTCCTCCTCAGGCTCGCAAGGCCAGGCCTAAGGGGGGGCGGACTCCACAGTCCCTGCCCAGCGCTGACACCCCGGGCACCTCTGCCACTCGGCCGTGCCCTTCTGGTCTCGCCCCGTCGGGGCTCCAGTCTCGGGTTGAGGCCCTTGAGCAACGCTTGGGGGGTCTTGAGGTTAAGCAGGACACCCTTGCGGACAAGGTTGACACCCAGTTTGCGCAGGTTTCCGCCCAACTCACGCGCATTTTGGGGGCGGTGTCCAAGCCGGCTCGTGCTTGTGCCGCGGAGGATGCTTTGGCCCCTTCGGCCAAGGCAGCTCGCATGGGGGCTTGACTATCTGGGCCGCCATGGCCCTCTTGGGGGATGGGTCCCTGCATGACCCCCTGTGCCTTGGGTTCTGGTACTGGCAGCTGCTGCCTGTTTTCTTGTTGGTGTACTGCGCCCTTTCCTGTTGCTATTTGGTGGCTGTTGCTGTACCGTGTTTTTGATGCCACTCGCGGCTTTCCTGGTGAGGGCCCTTTTTCCTTGCGCTCCCACAATGTCGGTTCTCTGGCGGCCCATCCTGAGCTCTACTCTGTCGATGCTCACCTTTTCCTGGTTCAGGAGGCCCGCCTTTCGGCTGACAATGTGCGTTCTGTTACTTTTCGGGCGTCCGAGGCCGGCCGTTCTCTCTTGCCTGGCCCTGACGTGAATGGTGTCCGTCGGGTGGAGTGGGGGGGTGTTGCCTCCCTGGCCTGGAAATGCGTTGTTCATCCTGTTGCTCCTCAGCAGGATGCATCTGGGCTTCTGCCCTCCCTACTGGCTTCTGGCCGCTTCCATGCAGTGTGGGCCACGCTTGGTTCTTTTCGCATGCTTGCGCTCAACTTTTATGCGATTTCTGGTGCCTCCTCTGACGATGTGATCTTCAGCCAGAATCAGGACTACCTCGCTGCCATCTTTGAGTTTGCAGCCCAGTACACTGCTGATCACCCTGTGGTCCTTGCCGGCGATTTCCAGGCCGACCCCTTGGCATACGCGGCGTGTGACGATGCTGTTGCTACCGGGGTCTGGCTGGACCCCTTGCAGCCTCCGACGGAGGCAACTATGAGGGAGCCCACTTTCAGTCGTGACAAGACCTGGCTTGGGTCTGGCCCCCGCACGGCCATCAACACGGTTTTGCTCAACGGCCTTGCTTCTCGCCTGCTCCAGTCGGCTGAAGTGGAGCCCTTGTGTGGCTTTCAGCATGCCCCTGTGACCTTGAGGTTTGCGGCTCCGGATGAGGTCCCACGGGCTGTTGCCTTCGCGGCCTTTGCTCCGCTCGACTTGTCTGGGCTTGTCTCTGAGGACCAGCGTGCTGTTCTTGACGAGGACATGTGGCAGTCCACGTACCGGCCCGCCCTGGATTCCCTTGGAACTGTGGAGGATGCTTGGTCTCTTTTCTGTGACTTTGCGCTTGCCACTCTTCTCCAGTCTGGTGCCCGGTGGGGGCGCGGCCGCCGTTGTCGGGGTACCCTGCCCCCGCTGCGCCCCCAGCAAGCCGTCGGGCGCCCCTTTCCTTCATACCATCCCATCGCCCGCTTGGCTAGACTGCTGTCTCTGTCGCGGGAGCTCTTCTATCGGTTGGTGCGGCTCCCGCTTACCTCGGTTGCTGATGCTCAGGTCACGCACCGCACCCTTAGGCGCTTTTGCCGTGTCGCTCGGGAACTTCGGTTTGCCTATACGGCTGAGGACCTCACCCCGGTGGGTGTTGCCCCTTTGTGTGAGAGGGTTGAGGCTGCCCTCCGTGATGCCCACCTCACGCGGCAGCGAGCCGCTGTTGCGCGTTGGAAGGAGCGTCTCCGCCATTCGGCCCTTCACTCAGGTAAGGAGGTCTTCGCTCACCTGCGCAGTGCCACCCTGGCTGCTCACTCCAACTCCCTGGCTGGTCCTGATGGTGCCCCGGCGTACCATCCTGCAGTCGCCCTTGCGCACGCTGCGGACCAGTGGAACACTATCTTTGAGGTGCATGCGGAGGACTTTCCTGTGGATCCGCTCATGCGCCCTGTCCAGCATCTCCTTGAGCAGCGTGCCTCTCCCTTGGTTTTGGACCCCGTGTCTGCTGAGGACCTGGCTGCGTCTGTTGCTCGCAGGAGCCCTGATTCGTCTGCTGGCTTGGACGGGTGGAGGGCCGTTGAGCTCCGCGCACTGCCTATCCCTGTGTTCCGGCTCCTCGCCTATCTTCTTCAGCAGGTGGAGCTGGGCCGGTGGCCCATGCCGCGCATATTCGGCACTGCTCGCTTGGCTGTTCTGGACAAGGGTGCTGGCCCCGCCCCTCTGTCCAAGAGGCTCATAGCCGTCCTTCCTATCTGCTACCTGGCGTGGTCGTCGGCAAGGTTTCGAGCCTCCACTGCGTGGCAACGGGCTGTGTTACCGCCTGAGGTTGTCGGTGGTGTCCCTGGTCGCCGTGTGGAGGATATCACCCATCACATGGCGCTGGATTTCCATGAGGCGCGTGCCACTGACGCCCCCTTTGCGGGCATCCAGGTTGATCGCTCCAAGTGTTTTGATCGCCTTATGCCTCGGCAGATTGTGGCGCTCCTCACTGCCTTGGGTTTCCCTGTGGCCGTTGCTCGCGCCTGGTGTGGGAACTACGATGGCTTTCGTCGCTTTTTGTCCTGGCGTGGAGCGGTTCACCCTGAGCCCCTGGCCAACCACAATGGTATTGCCCAGGGGTGCTCCATGTCCGTGCTTGCGGCAAATGTGCTGATGACAGCGTGGTCCCTCTTGATACGACACTTCCCTGGTGTCACGCCCCGTGTCTTTGTTGATGACGGGTATATGACCGTGACCACCTTGGATGCGATCCCCAGCTTGGTCCAGGCCGTCCGTGCTACGTCTCTCTTTGACTCCCTCGCTGGCCAGCAGTTCAACCTCCACAAGTCCGGTTGGTGGGCCACTCAGGATGCTTGTGTGGCGGAGCTTCAGCCTGCCTTGCCGCAGGCTCCCCGTCTGAAGGCCTTGTCAACCTTGACCTCCGCGGTACCCGGGATGCCCGTGCACCGGCTGTTGCGAGCTTCAGGCGAGCACTCCGGGCCATCAGGAGCCTCCCGCTCTCTGCTGCTTCTAAAGCGTCCTATGTTGCCCGCAAGGCCATGCCCATGCTGTCGTATGCCGCTGAGCTCAACTTTGTGCCCAAGCGCATCCTTTCTGCCTTGGCTTCGGAGGTAGCCTCAGTGCTCTGGGATGGTCGGCCCATGTGGAGGTCCCGGGAACTCCTGCTCGCGGTTGTCCATCCCGGCCACTTGGTCCATCCTGAGTATGCGCTGCCGTACCGCACTATTCTTAATGTTGCGGCCCATCTCCAGCGCTCGGAGGTTTTCAGCCTCAAGTGGCGGATCGCCTTTACCAATCAGCGCCTGCTGCCTTCCACCCTTGTGGCCACCTTTGTGTCGGCGCTCACTGCGTGCGGTCTCCGGTTTCAGGCCCCTGCCTCCGTTGCCTTTGATCATGGCCCCTGGCTCTCCCTGTTTGGCATGTCTCTGCGCTCGCTTAAGCGTTTGCTCCAGTGGACTATTCCTCAGCATGCCTATGCCAGGGCCTGCCGGGGCAAGCGTGCGGACATTGCGCATGGTCTCCTGGATGTGGCCTTTTCTCGCTCTCCCTGGAGTGTTCCCCCGTGTCCGCGGTGGACCTCCTTTTCCCGTCTCCTGCCCTCCAGGAAGGCTGTGGCCCCGGCGGTTGTTGTTGGTTCGGCTGTCACTGCGGACCGGCTCCATGCCTCGGGCCTGTCTGGTAGCCCCCTCTGTCGGTATTGTGGGCGGGAACAGGAGACCATTGGTCACCTCGTTGAGTGTCAGGCCCTGCCTGAGGAGGTTGGCACTCCCCCCCCTCTTGTTCCTGATCAGGGGCCTGCCTTCGCCACTCATGGTCTGCTTGAGGTCCCTGCCGATCTGCAGTCGGCGTTCTGTGCTGCCCAGCCGTGGCCTCCTACTTCCCCTTGGCCGCGCCATGGCCTTGGGCACGCCACTCACCTCTGGACTGATGGTAGCGTTTACTTGCCGCAGCACCCTTTCTTGGCCGCTGCCGGCTATGCCGTCGTGTCTGGGTCGCGCGCCACTGTCGATGCTGGTGCGGTTCCGGGTGTTTTTGCGGACAACTATCGTGCGGAGGTGTATGCCATTGTGCGTGCGTGCGTGCGGCCATGCACGCTCGGGGGCACCTGGTTGTGCATACCGACTCCCAGTCTGCCGTCCAGGCGTGGCAGGCAATTTGTGCGGCTGGTGTGGTTGCTCCCCACATAGCGGCTGCTGACCTCTGGCAGGTCCTGTGGTCTCTTGTCCGGTCGCGTGCTGTGGGTGGTTTCATCCTTGAGCTTCATTGGATTCGAGGCCATGTGGTCATCTCGGCTGCTACTCATCCAATTGAGGCCCTGCATGCTCGGTGCAACCATGCTGCTGACCTTGCGGCCAAGTCTGCCGCTCGGGTTTCCTTGGCTGTCCCTGCCCGCAGGCTTGATGCTCTCTTCTTCGCCACCTACCGCCGCCACTTGTGGTTGCAGAGCCTGTTTCTTGCCCTGCCGCGCACCCCCCTTCCCCCTGTGCCTGTCCCTGACCCTGGTGAAGCCCTGTGCCCTGTGGCTCCTGCCCCTCCCCCGGAGCCTGCACCGGGCCCGTGCCATGGCCCTCCGCGCTTCTGCGCTGCTTTTCCCCCGCCGGGGAAGCCTGATGATTGGGTTATGGGTGCCTCGTCCTGGGAGGCTTGGAGCAGCTTCCTTCATGGTGCAGTTTGGCTACGCGCTGAGGAGGCCTTTCAGCCGGGTCTGGCGGTTGCGTTGGTGGTGTGGAGGCGCTACCCCGTCATCCTGCCCTATCAGGACGGCCGCGCTGCCACAGTGCAGGACCTGCTGGTACACTTCAAAGCAGCTCGGCGTTGTGTCACCCGGAGGGCCCCTCTTGCTTTTCCAGGCAAGTGGGAGCCCCGTCTGGGTGCGTATGCGGGCCTGGCGTGGCCCCGGGGGGCCTTCTCTGGAGTGCGCCTGCTGTGCACTCCAGAGGAAGATGCCTTCCTAGAGAGGACTCGGATGCGGGCGGCCCGTCTGGGCCGCGTCCCTCGCGATTGGGCCTTTTCCCTGGGGTCCCTCGCTTGATGGCGCTGGTTGCAGTGGCGCTTGCGGCCTATGCCGCTGGGCCTACGTGATGTGGACTGGGATGAGAGGGCTGCCTGCCCTTGGAGGCTGTTTCACCTCGTCGTGTGCTTTCTGCCACAGTCTGTGGTATGTGTCACTGGTGGGCACCTGTCCCACTAGGCCTGGACAGATGGTTGGGCGGCATGCCCCTCCGTCAGCCGGCGAATCGTCGCCCGCCGTGTGCCAAAAGGGTTCCCTTTTTTCCAGGGTCACTGAACAGTAATTACTAGAATGCAACGGCTCCGACTCCCTCCCCCTCCGGGCCCTTCTTTTCTGGACCCCCCACCCCACCCTTCGACTTTGAAGGGGAACTGCCGCACTCCTTGGATGATGGCTGTTTGTTCGCACAGGTGCCAGATGTGAGCAGCAAAAGGCCGATGTGTTTAGTGACGCTCCCGTTTTGACATATTTATATACATATATGTTTGCATGCCAGGGATTTAGTTTAGGTTTTTCTTATCGGTCTACTTTGCATCTTGGCAACCTGATACGAGATTCCCTTTCATGTCCAGGTCATGTTGGGCAACAAGGGAAAAACTGGACTCCCTCTAAAGGAGGTGTTCCTTTGGAAGAGTGGGGCCCTTGAAACGGGCGCGCATCCATGATGAAGATCCTTGTTTTTGTTTGGGGGGGTCCTTGTTTCCGGCTTGTGAATTGTAGTAATTTGGCAGGTTGATGGTTCTGGTTCTAGCTCTTCTTCCCTTATCCTTCGCCCCGTTTCAGTCCGCTTGTTTGACTCAGGCGGCGTCATCTTTGCGGACCTGAAGCCAGCAAATATCCTCTTCACGGAGGAGATGTGTGTCTCTTGGGCCTTTTTGTGACATGAGTCATTCTTTCCCGCGCTTGGGTTGCCCCTTCAAACCAACCCCAAAGTTTGGCCCTGGGTAAGAAATCAGACCACAACCCCCCCCCCCACCCCGCCACTCACGCAGAGGAGGAGGTGCTGAAACTCAGCGACTTCGGGTGCTCGGTGCGCTTGGAGGAAGCGAAGGAGGTGCGACGACCTTCCGATTGCGGACCCGTTCCAATGGCCACCGAAAGCTCTTTGGTGGGACATGGACCTTTTGGGCACATTTTTTGTCTATAGGGACTATGGCACATGGACCTGTTAGACATGTTTTGTTGGCTGGGGGAAGAGACCCGGAAATGGCAATGGGGCCTCTGGTCTGCTGGGCATTTCTGTTGGTGACTAAAGGGAGGCCAGAAGAAAGCCATGTTCAAAGGATATACTGTCCCAAATTGGGTACACACTACATGCGCGACCCCACCTTTTTGTAGGGTATGATGTGAACCCGGGCCAACAAAAAGCAGTACTTGGAGCAAGAGGTGTGCATCTCACCAACATGGAACCTCAGGGTGGCGCCCTGAACAAAAAACACAGGGCTTCACCCCCCCCCCCCTTTCAACCAAAAAAACCACCAGCTTCTACTTTGCGCTTGGGGCCAACATTGCTTGTGCCCAAGGCCAGGAGAGCACGCTTCCCGAGCCGTCGCCCAGTCAATCCCCAACATGTTGCCGGTAACCTCGCTGAATTTCACAGAAGATGGCCAGCCAAAATCCATTCCTAAGTGTCCGTCATCACAGTTGTCCCCCAATCAAGAACTGTCCACAAGCAGTTCCAGGACTTATTCCCAGGCCACTTAGTTCCAAAGTTCAGGAACATTTTCTGGCCAATCTCAGGGTTTCTAAGCAGTCGTTTTGAGCGACACGGAGCTAACCGGATTCGCGCGAGAAAGCCGGAAAACCGAGAAAAGCGAAAACCGCGAAAACTGCGAAAACTGCGAAAACCGGAAAAAAACGAAGCCCGCGAAAACCACGAAAACGCGACAACCAGGTGAAAACCACTAAAACGCAAAAACCGTGAAACGCCAACATGGGAGAAAGGTGAAAAGGCGCAAGCTTCAAGAACAAAGGCGAACGCCTTGAGAGCCAGCAACGGAGCTGTTTGGTTTTCTGGTTTTCTAGGTTTTCTCGGTTTTCTCGCGGTTTTCGCGTTTTCGCGGTTTTCGCGGTTTTGCGGTTGTCGTGGTTTTGGCGTTTTCTGGTTTTTGCGTTTTCGCGGTTTTCGTGGTTTTCGTGGTTTTCGCGTTTTCTGATGTTCGCGTTTTCGTGGTTTTCGCGGTTTTCGCGGTTTTCACGGTTTTCGCGGTTTCGCGCTTTTCGCGCTTTCGCAGTGTTCGCAGGTGTTCGCTGCGAGTTTGTGTTGTTAGTATGCCTACTGGCCTTGTGTTTTGAGCCCCAGCGGTCATAGAAATAAGATAGGTAGGTAGGTAGATAGATAGATAGATAGATAAATTAGATGAGATTTGATCAGATTAGATTAGATAGAGAGATAGATAGATAAATCGATAGATATATAGCATGGGAGAAGACAGGATAAGACAGGATAAGACAGGATAAGATAGAAGATAAGACAGGACAATGTGTGATAAGATAAGATAAGGTAGGCAAGATAGATAAGATAGATAGTATAGATATGATAGGTATGATAGTCAAGGTAGATAAGGCATATAAGATAGATCATGTAGATAAGATGGAACACGATAGTGAGATAGATACGATGCGACAGATAGGACAAATAGGAAAGATAGGATAGATATGATAAACATGATAGATAGGATAGATAGGTAGGTGTCTAAGTAGATAGATAGATAGAGAAATGGATATGCAGATAGATACATAGGATACGATAGATAGATAGATAGATACATAGGATAAGGTAGGATTCGCTAGGATAAGTCGGGAGAATATATGGTAAGATAGCATAAGACAGGATAAGACAGCATAAGGCAGGATATGGTAGGATGAAAAACGGCTCACATATGATTATATATATATATTGACGTGGATGAATAGATAGAGAGGTATATATATATATATATGTATCTATATATATACACAGGATAAGATACGCTACAACAGGATAATATAGGATAAGACACGGAAAGATTGGCCAACATGGGGTAAGGTAGGACAAGTTAGAACAAGACATGATAAGATAATATATTATAGAATAATATACGCTAAGGAAGCTAAGACAGGATACTATAGAGGTAGGTAAGGTAGACAAGGTAGATAAGGTAAATTGGATAGACATGATAGATGAGGTAGACAAGGTAGATAAGACATACGATACATCAGATAGATAGATAGACAGATAGGATCAGATAAGGTGATAAGATATGATAAGATATGATAAGATAGGGTAAGACAGGATAAGATAGAACACGATGGGATAAGATAGGATAATCCAGGATAAGAAGTTAAGACAGGATAATACAGAATAATCTATTATAAGAAAAGACAAGGTAGGTAATGTAGACAGGTAGGTACAATTGATGCGATGCATAAGGTAGATCAGATAGATAAGATATAATAAGATATAATAAGATAGATGTGATAGGTAGGATGGGATAGATGGGAGGTAGGTGGGTGGGTAGGTGGGTAGGTTGGTAGATAAATCGATAGATACAGAGGAACAGATAGGATAAGGTAGGAACATGTAGCAACATACAAGGTAAGGTAGGATAACATGAGATCGGCTAGGATAAGAGAGGATAGGACGGGATAAGACAGGATAAGATAGGATAGTAAGGCTAATACAGGATAAGATAGAATACGATAGGAGAAGGTAGGATACGATAGGAAAATAGGATTAGATGGGATAAGACAGGATGAGGTAGGATAAGACAGGATAAGACAGAGAGATAGGTAGATATATAGACACAGATCGATCGATACATAGGATAGATAGGCCAAGACAGGATAAGACACGGTAAGATAGGCCAAAATGCGATAGATAGGAGCAGATAGGATAATACAGACAAGCTAGGATACGATAGGAAATAAAATAGGCTAAGATAGCACAAGACAAGATAATCTATGATAAGATAAGATAAGGTAGGTAAGATAGATAAGGTAAATAGTATAGATATGATATGCTAGACAAGGTAGATAAGACGTATGATATTTATCAGATAGATCAGATGGACAATCTAGATAAGATACAATGAGTTAAATAGGGCAGGTATGAACGATTTTATGATATGATATCTAGATAGGATAGATAGGATAGATACGGTCAATAGATAGATAGATAGACAAGCTGATAGATGGATCGATAGATAGACAGATAGATAGATCGATAGATTGGTAGATAGATAGATACATAGATGGATATACATAAATAAATAGATAGATAGATAGATAAATAGAGAGAGATAGATAGAGATAGGTAGATATAGATAGAGATAGAGATAGAGATAGAGATAGATAAATAGACAGATAGATAGATCAATAGATAGATAGATAGATAGACAGATACATAGATAGATAAATGGATAGACAGAATATGGGATGCGTTTGCCACCTTTTCAAAGGGTTACGTCGCGCGAAAGTTGGCATTTGCACGGTTTCACCGCTTTCGTGGGTTTCGCGTGTTCACAGTTTTCGCGGTTTTCGTGTGTTTTGCCGCTTTCGCAGTTTTCGCGTTTTTGCCGTTTTCCGAGTTTTCGCGGTTTTCGTGTTTTTTTGTCGTTTTCGTGGTTTTCGCGGTTTTCGCGGTTTTCGCGTTTTCGCGGTTTTCGCGTTTTCGGTTGCAAAATCCGCTTAGCGCACGTCACGAAAAAGAATCGCACAGCAGGGTTTTCCCCCACGCCCATCCCCACTCTTTTTCTTTGCAAGGAAAAAAACGGAAGATCCCCCCCCTCCCCCCATCCCCAACCCCCCATACCCCCAACCCCCCATCCCCAACCCACCCCTCCCCCAACCCTCCATCCTTAACTCCGCCCCCCCCCCCCCTCCCCATCCCCACATCCCCATCCCGATTCTCCCCCCATCCCCAACCCCCCCATCCCCAACCCACCCCTCCCCCAACCCTCCATCCCCAACTCCGCACCCCCCCGGCCCCCAATATCCCCAACTTCGCCCCCCCCCCCCCAGCCCCCAATCCCCCAATCCCCCAATCCCCCATCCCCACAGCCCCATCCCCACGCCAACAGCAAGCTGCGCCCCCGCGCCCCGCCGCCCCGCAGGCACGGCCAGCGCGAAGAGGCGCGCCCCAGTACATGGCCCCGGAGCTGTTCTCAGAGGCGACGCCGGACGACTGAGGGCCTGGGCTGGGCGCGTCTGGTGAGTTGGTACCCCATGCCGTTGGGGGCTTCAAAGGGAAACGCAAAGGAAAACAAATTCCTTTTTTTTTTTTTTGGGGGGGGGTCTCCCAAAAAAAGACACCCGCCATTCCCCTAGGGCAGGCTACTATCCCCTGCAAATCCACAAATAACCTGAGCACAACCAATCTTTGCTTAGAAGTATCTCCTTTTGAGAAGCCCTTTTTTAGGGCTCCATGCTAGTTTGCAGGGTAACACCTGGGATTGCGTGGTTCATTCTGAATTTAATGAGTTCTAGAAATTCTCCCGCCAGCCTGTGTTTTGAATCTCCATCTTGCAGCCCTTAACAAATTGCGCGAAGTGTCCTTTCTTGCTTGGGGCATCTGCGCCTTTCTGGGCCCAAAAAAGCTTCATCGGCGAGTGTGGCAACCACTGTAGTTGCACGGAACCAGAGCAATTGGAAAAAACCTGGAAATGCAGGAGACACATATAGCATGAATAGGCGGTGTTCAACATTTGGATCTTGGGAAACATCTTTGACCCGTCCTGGAATCAGCTCATATCTTATTTGTCCTTTTCTTTGGAAGGTTCAATCCATTCACAGGCTGAATATATGCGCCGTGAACCGCTCCTATGAACCCCTAGTTTTATATTTTGTTATTGACCGTGGGTTATCGGAAGGATGGCAAATCATGCCCCAAAACATTCCAAAATGGCCATGGGTGCATACAGGGACACATACCACTAATCTTTGATCCTTGGTTGCAAAGGGTGTTGGACCCCCTTGAAGTGCTGGAGCACCTTGAAATTTGGCTGACCCAGCTGCGCATTGTGGACTACAAGTTCAGATCTCCACAAAAGTGGCTTCCTTTTGGAAAGCACCTTCGTTTTTGAGAGATTCTCCCCACACCCCAATGAACATTTGCAAGAGCATGGAACCCAACAGAGCGTTTCAAATCCAGGAAGCCAGCACGGTTTCAACGGCACCATGTCCCAAAAGTGAAACGGACATCTCGCTGTGAACATCGGAAAGGGCGGCACTGTGTCCTTCGCCTCGGACCTGTGGCTCGGACAAATCGGTTTTGGCTGGGAGTTCGGAGCGGGTTCGTTTGGTTTGCCTTGCTCTTCCCAGTTTCTTTTGAGGTTGTAGTTGGGGGGGGGGGTTGTGGAGCGGGGGGCTTGTGGGGGGGGGGGGGTTGTTTTGCACTTTTGTGGTTGGGGCACAGAGGGCTCGATTCCCGTGGCCTTCTGCCACCGCACGTTGCCCAGACGCATCCGTTTGTTGAGGCTTGCTCCATTTGAAACAGGTTTGCAGTTCTTATTTTGCAGTGGGCTAGCCTGTCAAAGCGGATTCTGTTGTTTCTCCCTCTTGGCAGAGGGTGCCTTTTCACGTCGACCAAAGGGCGAATCCCTTTGTCAGTGGGCCTGGGGCGAGTCACAACCATAGATACAACTCCAGTGATCAAACCCGACCTTTTGACCATAAAGTTTCCCACTTCAGGTCACGTTTTTTGCACTTTAAAAGGGTGTTGCATATCCTTTGAGTAGTGAATGTTACCAACCACGCCATTGCCAGGTCCGATGGGGCAAGCAAGCTTTTCCATTGGCTAGAGGGGGCGACCTGGGCCAAGAGAACGACAAGATGGCTTGGGAGGGTTACACGGTTGCCCCGTCTTTTGTTGAAGCCTTTTCCAGGCCCACAGGCAGCCAGACTTTTTGCAGCCAGGAATCAGAAGGACCTAGTGCCCTTTGGTTGGGTTTCGGCTCCCAGTTGATCATTTTCAAAGTCGCCCCCCCAAATTGGGTGAAGCAACCAGCCCCAGACCCTTCACCCCGAGGTGGTCCCTGGGCTGCCTGCTGCAGGAGCTCTTCAGCGGCAGCCCGCCCTTCAGCAGCCCCAACTCCCAGCAGCTGCAAATCCTGATCCTCACAGAGGCCCAGTGATGCAGGGGAAGAGTCGGACTCTTTTTTGGGTTTCACTGGTCCAACATGTATAGTTGCTCATTTTGGGAACTCTGGCAAATGGAAGGACGAACACCTTTTGGCCCACAGCCATCTTACCATTCGTGAGAAGATGAACTGGGCGAATGATCCGGCATTTGTGGGGTGCTTGGGAAGACTCCCGGAGATCTTTTTGATGGTCAGGTGCTCCTTGGGAGCTTCTGGACTTGATTCTCTAGGCATGTCTTCGCTGAAGTCCAAGTCCTGCAAGGTCAACCTGTTGTATTCCTTACGGCAGTGAGCTCACTTCCTGAGTGCCCAGGCTTAGGGAAGGCAAGATTTGAGTGGTGAATGAGAAGTCGAGGCTGTTTTTGGTTCAGCCCTAGCGTTTTGCAGGGCCCAAAGCAAATTGTTCAATGAACTGCATGTTTGACGGGGTCCCACGTGACACGCTCAAAGAAAATTGCCGCAGGGTTGCCGCAGGGTGGCCATTACAAGGCAACGCCCAGCACACCGGGTGAACGTGCAGGTAACTTGGCCGACTTACGGCCTTCTTCAGGGCCATCATTGAACGGAGGTGAGGGCTCCCTCGATTTGCCTAGTGTTGGACATCCACAAGATTGGAGCAAACATATTGGAACCCACCGGCATATTGATCAGTTTTGCAAGGGGAAATCCAGAGATCCATCACTCCCGACCGAAAATGACAAGTGCCAGCTACAATATGAACATGAGTAGGTGTCTTTTTGGCAAACAAGTTAACCCGGAAAAAGCCTCCCGACACTTGTCTTACCAGGGTCACTGATGGAGATGCGTCAACATTGCAGGCTCCTTTTCTTCCGTTTCCCCTGAAACCCGCCTGAAATGGGTCCCTGAAGCACCACACGCGCCCTTGGCTACCCAGAAGAGGGTACCCCGTTGAAACCCACTTGCACCCTGGTTGCACCCAAGCCTCATGCGCGCCAGGCAGCCCCCAGCCTTCCAACAGCATCCACCGAGTTCCAGGCGCGCGCAGAGACGTTCCGGGGCTTCACCGCAGGCCTCCAGAGCGCTGCTTTTTTGTCTTGGGCTGGGTCCCACGAATTGCCATTGCCAAAATACGTAAGAACCCTCTTTTTGGCGGTCCAAGGGTTTCCCTTTGCACCGGGAGGGTCGGGACCCAATTTCGCGGTGCCTTGAGCTGTGGTTGGTAATAAAGCTAGGTTGATGGAGGGTTACCGGAGGTCGGCTGCAGACGTGAAATTTCCCAAGCTGATGAAAAGGGGGCCGACCTCCATGCAGCAAGTTGATATTGCACATAAACCGACACTTGCCCTCCAGCAAGCTTTGCCTTCTCGGCTTTTAAGGTTTAGTTAGTTTAGTTGTAGTTTCTATTGTATTTAACACACTAGAAGTTAGACTTTTAGTAGGGGATCTGAGGAGCCCAGTTAAGTGTCTGACATTGTCCGGTGTTACCAGGACCAGGGAAGTCGAGGGGTCTTTTTGTTGGGTTTGATCCAGCTTGTGTTGATCCCATTTCGCCTTTCTGACGTTCACAGGCATGGCGAGCTGATTGTCACCCTGCAAGGGTTCCCTGCATGTCCGCTTTTGGCAGCTTTAAAGGTCACCCTGTTCACTGGGAGGGTCACCAGCAAGGACAGCCACGCAAGCTCCTTGGACGCTCGCGTCAAAACCCGGGACAGTTCGCAGGGTGGATTCCCATGGCTGGCGGAAGTGGGATACCCAGATCAATGCACACACCCAAATGTGACTTGTCGAGGGAAAAAGCAGTTCAGGTCAAAAGGGCAGGGGGCCTCAAATGAACAAGCCGGAAAAAAGGGGGGGGGTCCTATAAGAACTTGTGGGGGAGGGGGGGCGGAATTTTTGGGAAATGGTGTTGACCAAAGCCAAACGCCGCAAATCTTTCTGCAGCGCGTGTTTGGTTGCGCATTGCATGACCCCAGCCTTCAAGAGCCCTCCAACATACCTTTTGCACATACCCCGCACCAATGAAAGCAATTATCATCTGTGTATGAGTCAAAGTTTAGCCACCAGGGGACCGCAGGTTTCAGTCGTTGGTTCCATTTGCCAGGGTTTCATTTTGGGTACCTATTTTTGACCCACAGCCATCTTGAGAGGGTAGCGGTATGCTCAAAACTTACTTGTCCAGAGCTGACCTTTTGACCCTTTAGTTTTCCCTTGTTGGTCCATTTTTGGAAAAGGTGCCGAAAGGTTAGCCTTTGACGTCTGGGTCCTTTTGGGCAACTGAGACTTCCCCACAATTAGTTCCTCTTTTGTTTTTCTTTTTTGGGGTCCCCTTTGTTTGCCACTAACCAGGCAAACATGTATTTGTTTGCCGGGGTCCTAGTTCCAGCCAAGAGAAACTCAGTTGTTCAGTGGCACCCTTTGTCCTTTTTTTTTTTTTGGCTGGCTGCCCCACTAAGAATGGTCTTCCCCAAAAAGGGTTCCCTCTTTTTTCCAGGGTCACTGAACAACTGAGGAAAAGGTATGTTGGAGGCTTCTTGGGCCGAAGGACCTGGTGGGCCAGCTGCTGCGGAAGCGGCTCCCGCGCCTCACCTGGCCGGTGCTTCGCTGCCACCGCTGGTGGCGACAAGTCGTGGGCGCGGACGCGGACGCGCCCACGACCGAAGAATTGGGCGGGCGGTCGAGGTGTTCCAAGCGGGGGGTGTCCGGCTGTCCATGTCCGGGCGTGTCTCAAAGCAGGATCCTTAAAAGCGACGATCTTCCTTTCGTTCCGCCTATGCACAAACATGAGGTACTTGCCCTCAAAACAAGACACCCCCATGTTGCCAACGTCACTTGCTTGGCCTATTTAAGTTGAGCTTGCCTTGGGTTTTGGTATGCCCGGTTGTGCCAATACTCTGGAGCCACTGGCGGAAGAGATTGGGTCTAAGGTGGTTTTGTGCTCTTG